ATATATATATACAGAAATGATGTAATGAGCACCAGTGCTCATCTTATCCTAAATACCGATGAGTTAGCACATTAATTCATTGGTGGATAAAGATTTTGTGAGTTCCAATCTACCAATGAATTAATGTGCCAACTCATCGGTGCTTAGGATAAAATGAGCACCAGTGCTCATTAGATCATTTCTCTATATATATATATATATGTATGTATGTATGTATGTATGTATGTATATATTTGCACACGCACGCTGGTACCTCAGTAGATTTATGTAGGCCAATTGGATCAGGTTCTGCCGCCATAACCATATTCAGATTATTTCCGCTGCCACCGGCGGTGGCCGGAAGCTGATCGTTTGTAGCATACAAATTCTTATTTCCCTTAGGAACGTCAATTTTCTTGCTTGACCTCAACTTTGGTGCAAAGTTGGAGTTGTTCAGCGGAACAGTTTTAGCAGATGATTTTTTCATTCTTCTGAACCAATACGGCCGGAAAATTCTTTGGCCACCGTATTTGTCTTTTCCACCATCGCCGCCGCCAGAGATCTTTTTCACATCATCCTTAACTGAAAATCCAAAACAACCCAGAAAGAAATTGCTTCCATGCTTCCTATTACTGGTTTTCTTTATATGATGCGACATGGAAGAGATGAAAAAAAACTCGCCGGCATCAAGAATGATATGGCTTCTAGTTTCTTGATTTCACTCTCAATGGTCGAACTCATGGCCACTTATTCTATTTGAAAATGTAAACCATAATGTCATACATGTTGAAATTGTGTTAAATGGTTTACATCATATTCAGTACTAAAATAAAATTTGGTGGAATTTTCTTATCCTTTTAGTATACAATAGATTAGTTGGAGGAGGGCAGAAGACTTAGTGGGAGCTCAATATCTTTTACCTCCTCCACGTTTTCACCAACTCCCAGTCTCCGTTCTCGAGATTGTTTAGTACGCAATATTAGATAATACTTTTATATTATAAAAATTGACAAGGGTAAAATTCAAAACAAAAAATGCAGAATAAATAAAAGTTTAAGAGTCAAACCAGTAATAAAGCACATTGGAAAAAAATAAAAATTGAGGTGAATCGGTTTATTTACCTGTTTTTCTAAGAGTCAAACCGGTAATAAAACATATTATAAGAAAAAAATTGAGGTGAATCAGTTTTTGTTTTAATTATTTGTAATTTTTCTAGTAGAACCAATTATTCTGATATGATTTTTTGACCACATAATAAATAATACTATAATAAAACATACTGAGGAAAAAAAATTAGATGAATCGATTTCATTTACTTCTTCTTGTTTTAATTATTTGTAATTTTTCAAGAGAACCAATTATTCTGATATGATCTATTTATTTACACAATTTTTTCTGAAATTCATTAGGTAAAGAATCGTAAATTTCATATTACGACTTTAGATTTCTTCTATATACTATATATATTAAAAGTGGCTATGTAACGGAATTTCTTATTTTTAACGGAAAAACTAACTGAATTTGTTGTTTTAACGGACTATGTAATGAAATTTCTTATTTTAAACAGGCAGCTGCACCTTGTTTCAGTGTTTTTATCATAACTTTGTATTCTAATGTCCGATTGAGACGATTCAAAAAGCGTTGGAAAGCTAACTCATCTGACTACAACTTTGATTTAGACATCATTCTCCAATTCGATCACTTTCTATGCCAAAAATAGGTCTCAATATGAGACTAAAATATCGGAGCATAACTTTTCGGTTGGAAATTGATTTGTGATCATCTTTTAACTAAATTTGATT